TGATGTTATCTTTGGCTGCAGGGTCCAGGCATTGCAGTCTGGCACATCTGGTTTTGTAAGTTCTCAGGACCTCTGTGCCTTCAGAATGCTTCCAGTAACTTTCTAGTCCTGAGAACTGAGCCCCATAAAACAAGAGTCAGTCAAGCCAGCACTGGCAAAGAGAGCCTGAAAAGGGGATTATTGTTCTACTCCTTCTGGCTCTTGAGATGGATTTATTCTTAATGACCTTGTATCAGGCTGGTTCTTGGGAGTAGAGGCAAAGGTCTCTTCTTCTGCAATTGCTTCCTGAAGGTTATCAGTGTAGAACTACCCCTGCCTGTGGATCTAGGTATACATTGTCAAGAGGGAGAAGATGAAACCAGATATCCCAAAAGGCAAAACCTGTGGCCAGAGGCCATTTTGTGGAGGGAATCTCCCAGAGCCTGGGTGCCTCACTGAATGAAGGATATGAGATATTTGAGGAGATGTGGTCCAAAAATGAAAATAAAAATGGCTGCTATAGGTTCTAGGAAAGGAGTTAGACAGGAAAAGCCAGGGCTAGATATTGACCTTAAAATCCCCAACACAGGCAAACTAGCTGAAACTGCATCAGTACTTCTCAATAATTCCAACACTAGTGATGAAAGAAGAGAAATGAAAAATTAGCTTAAAAAGAACTAGAAAAATTAGGACTTAATTCAATTTTGTGGGTGATAACTGGACATTGTGATTTCCACTGAAACCTGATTTCTCTCCCTAAAATCACCATTATTTTACAAAGAGACTGCACTAAGTTCAGTTCAAATTGGTGTGATAATTTTTATGAGCATAAAAAGAATAGTAGTTCATCATGTAATGCTCTTTCAAATCTTCTTTTCTGGGATTTTACAAGGAACCTGCAGACTGAATTTTAGTCAGCCCTTCATGGCACAGAAGACAAGCCACACAGTTGCCATCTGGCTTTGCCTGTAATGCCTACAGGTTTGGGTGGATTCCTCAAGTTCTTGAGGTCTCCAACATGTCTGGAGGTTCCTTCCTTGCTATCTACAGGAAAAGAACTTCTGTTTTTACCTGAAAAGACTGCAATAAACCATGTGACCAAGCAAGGTACCAGGCCATTTCTCCAAGGGGCTCTTATTGGCTTCAAATTCAATTTTAATTTCTTAAGGCTTGTTCATGACATCCAGAGTCCAGGCATGACTCTTTCCATCATCACATTCCAGACAAAGACCTGGTTAATGAAACCACATTTGGAAACTGGTGCTGTATAAACAGAATAGATTCTTATTGATTTATGCAAATAAACATATTGACATGAAAATCATACTCATTCATTAGAAATTTCTGAATGCTGGAGGAATTAGGTAGGGAGAAAAATATAAAGGCTTCAATATTGCTTAGGAGGGTGTGCTTTACAAATTGCTCTAGAGGGGAAAAAAACAAGTTTCCTTATATCTGGAAGACAAAAAGATTTAAAATTAGCAATACTTTGAATCAATTTTCATTTTCCTTGATTATTTGGATTTTTATGAATCCATTTATTTCTTAAGGTTCCAGTAAATGAAGCTATCTTTGAAATCTTCATTTACTTCAAAGATATGACTTGCTTAAATACATGTAATTTATTTTTTTAAGATTTTATTTATTTTCATGGAGAGAGGAAGGGAGGGAGAAAGAAAAAGAGAAACATCAATGTGTGGTTGCCTCTCAACTGCCCACACAAGCCAGACAAGTGCCCTGACTGGGAATCAAACCAGCAACTTTTTGGTTAACAGGTAGGCACTCAGTCAGTCCACTGAGCCACACCAACCAGACCTAGATACATATAAAGTCAGAGTTCTTTACATGAACCTTTCCAAAGATACATTTGCAAATGGGCTAGAGTAAAACAATGACTATAAATGACAAAATTTACAATGACATGATTATAGATTTGCTCAAAATGCAATTGACAAAGAACTTTGCACTTTGTAAGATGTAACCTTCCAAGATAGTAATATCTTGGTAAGTAATAATTACTATGAAGTTACATAAAAGAATAATAGGAAGCCCATATGTTTACATTAATACACACTGTCAATGCAAATAAAGACCTAACAGTATGAAAGTCCTGAAGTGCGGCACAGCACTTATTGTAAGTGTGCACTGAGCATTGTGGGGCCACCCTCCCAGAGTCACACTGTCCAAAAGTGGACTCAGAAATGCCTTGTATTGTCTGGTGGGGCTTGGCATCTGTGTTCCATTTTCTTCTATGTTCCCTCTCATATCAAAGGGACTAAAACATTACAAACTACCTTTCCCCAATTCCTCATTATTAAAAATCCAGATGTAAATTAAATTCAGCCTCTGAGGTGCACTTGTGTTTAATTCAGAAGGTGGAAGGAAGATGGGACCATTATTTCTGCTGCTGTGGTGACTGATGAATGGGCTGTGGCAGACACAGGTTCATGTGAAGAAACAGGTGTTTGTTTACCTCTAGGTGGGGCTATAGCCATGCAACGTTGAAACCAGACTCCCAGTGGCAGCTCCCTAACTTTCATTTCTGTAGATATTCACTAATTTCACAAGCACCTAATTCTTTGTGTTAAAGATGTTTCTGCAAAATGTTCATGGCAGGTTTACTTGTAACAGCCCCAAATTGGAAAAAACACAAATGTCCACAAAGGGGTGAATGAATACACAAATTTAATGCATCCCTAGATCAAGACAGAAAGAAAAGATCGAAAAAAAAAAGAACTATGTCAGAATTGTGTTATGTCAAGGAGCCAAACTCCACCTAAAATTGCATACTGTATGATTCAAATTTTGGAAATTCTAGAAAGTAAAAATGAATCTATAATGACAGAATGCATGTGAGTGTTTTCTTCACACATGGTTGGGGTAAAGAGGGGCAGAATGAAGAGATTATAAGAGGTCATGAAGAGACTTTAAGGGTAAGGGACATTTTCATCATCCTCATTGTGACAACTTCTCTGGAATATGCATCTGGAAAAACTTTAAAAATTGTATACTATCTATATTTTAGGCTTATGGCATCCAACAATAAGTAAATAAATAGGTTCAAAGTATATATACATATCTAAAATATTGCAAAAGTATAAGTTGAAAAGAAAATACAAAACTCAAAATAATGCCTAATATGATTTTTCTTCCCCATTTTTTCTGCTTTCCACCAGGGGGCGGCAGAAGTACAGTGGTACTTAGAGTCTTTCTGGGGCACCACCCACTCCAACTCAGCAGCACCCACAGCTCCTCAGGGTCCACCTTCACCAGATGGATCATTACACAGTCTTCCTAAATCTTCAAGCTCCTCACGGTGGACTCCATCTGCTGCTCAATACAGCACATCGTCAGCCTACCAACGGGCAGTGCTCTGTAGGAAGCTTTTTTTTTTTTTTTTAACACCGTCTGTTTTTCAAGGGGAAAATGGCCACTAACTCTTCATGTCTTGGCCAAGAGGTCATTTTGTTGGGAGGGCTCTTAGCGATGCTGAGAGCAGCAGAGACTCGAGTGCATACTGTGTACAGAAGGGTTTTTTTATGTCCCCTCACTTGTTTACAATTAATTCCTTAAGTCATAATTTATCAGAGAGCCCCTGTCACAAGGTAAACTCAATGAGTACAGGGTCCACATATGTCTTATTCTCTTTGGAGTTTCCAGGAACCTGACACATCACAGATGCTCAGTAGACACTCATTAAATTGATACAGAAGACCACACAATGGAAGGGTGTCACCCTTTGTGACATTTGAAGTCAAATTAGGGTTCTTATACAAACAAAGGCACTGGTGTTGACATGAGAGTACAGCAGCATACGCTTGGGGACATCCCGTGGTCAGGTCTTTACTTCCTATACAATCAGGAGGTAAGAAAAACCTCCCAACTGTGAAAGATTGGACTACCCTGTATTTCCAGAAAATCACAGTCCTCCACGGGCCCACCTTGTGGGTTCTGTCACATCGTCTCAGGCCTGTGCTATTTCTGTTCTTACAAATGCCTGACCCGACAGAAACTCAGGATCCTCAACCCCTGGAAGAGTTACTGCCAGGGGAGGAAGGAGCATAACCTGACCTTATAGGAATCAGGGGATGACTTTCTACTCTTAGAGTCCCCAGACTTTGGGACATGTGCCTGAACTTTCTGAAGACGTGTCACCAGTTCATGAGGTCCTCAGGAACAAAGGAAACTTCTTGTACAGGATAGGACAAGAAAACCCAGAATCTGCAGTCACTTCCACCTCAGAGGGGCTCAGGGTCCCATGGGAACCTCCCTACTCCTAACAGAACAACACAGAGCACTCTTGGCTGAGTTGTTACATGGAGCTGCTCCAGCTCCTGGGCCCTGGGAAGAGGCCCAGAGCAGATGACAGACAGGGGCACAGATAACTTATATACAATGCCCCAATGCTGTGGTGGAAGACACACAGCATATTTTGGGGATCAAGCCTCCTTGAAAACACTCTCTCCCAAATACCTCAGGAGAATGACCCTCAGATCCTCCATCTGAACCTTTGAAAGCATAAAGCTCTGTCTGAAACAACACATGCCCCTGATGGGACAGTTCTCCTGGCACTGGACTCATAGTACTCTGGACAATGCCTGACCTGTCTCTGGGCTCACCCTGCACTGGTCAGCATCCCTGTGCAGGACCTGACATTGGCTGCAGTTCGACTCCTGCCCTTTAGGGGGCAACATTGAGCCACACAGAAAACGCACAGGAAATTCACACCTGAATCTGGCTATGGCTAAGATGAATCAAGAGCCTGTTTTACCTCTCTCTCTTCAATAGACATTTTTTGGTCCTTCCTCATGCCTGCTGTGTCCCGCCTGCTACTTTTGGAGACTGTTAACAGAAAGGGGTTGTGCAGTAACCCTGACACACTCAGGGGGTCACGTGGCATGACTGGCTCAGTGACCAAAACTAACAGGACAAAAGCCACTCTCTCAGGCCCTCTCTCCCAGAGCTGGCTGGACCCCATAGAGGATGCTGACCCTAATTGTTTTATGATCCTTCATCCTCAGGACTGGAAAGTTACTGGAAGTGCCCTGAAGATGCAGAGGCTCCAGGAACTTATGAAACAGGACAAACTAGACCACGATGACCACCGGGCCCTGCACCCAAAGATGACATTGAAACAAGCTACAGCCCAAGACATCCAGCTCTGCAACCACTCCCATCACCCGATAGAAACTCTCAGTCCTGACCCCTCAGTGCTGGTGCTGGTTCAAGTGCACCTCTCTGCACCCAGCCCTTTTCCACTGGGAGAGTAAAATAAAACTTTTACTCTCTGCACTTTCTTCTCTTTGTGATTTTTTCTCAGCCCACATCACTGACTGTTACAGAACGGACCCATGGCTGGTGTGGGGGGGGTGTGAGGACAAGATACTGTTACCAAATAACATTCTCTCCTGGGGCCCCCTGTTACAAGGTTTGCCTTGCCTGCCACCCTGAGAAATTATAGCCCTCAGTGCCAGAGTTTGAGGAAAAGGAAAGGAACTATTTATCAAAAAGTTATACAGACTTAGAGTAATGACTTAACATCTTCGTTAAAATGCCAAAGTTCCTTGAAACTCCCCGAAACAGACACTATCCTTTCTTTCCCTCCTTTGCCTGGTTTTGGATACCATATCTCAGGAAAAGAATAGAAGTCTGTGTCTCTGGCAGCCATTAGTCCTTCCCAGTAATCCGTGCTCCGCTGGGTGGCCTCCTGATGGTTCCTGGCACCATCAGCTGTGCTGCCAGGATCTCCAGTCCTTAATCCAAAACAACATGGCACCTCCTCATGGCCCACCAGCAATATACCCCTTTCCTTCCCACAACCTCTCTCCTGCACTCTTCCAAACTGCTAAGAGAGAACTCTGCATGATTGCTACATCTTGCTTTCCTGCTTCCAATAATACCGTGGTTAAGGGAGCCCCCAAAACTGCATGGTTTCCCCCCAAAACCATGTGGTCCACAGGCTTGGTTGCCTCGCCTGGGTTTAAATCCTGGTGTGAATCTTCCTCTGCATTCCGGTTTCCGACTCTTCTCACAATCAGCCACACCTGCCAGCACTGGTATTTTTCAGCTTTTCTGGGCTGCCATAGTAAGTGTGGGCAGATGTAGTCCCGTGATGTGTAGCAACCACATCCAAGCTTTCACGCAGGCGGTGTAACCAGGGGCAGCTGCCTCCCAGTTATGAAGTCACTCCCATCTCCCTGGCTCAAAGCAGCAGTTATAGATATATAAAATAACCATTTTTGCATATCAGGTATGAAGCTGGCCCACTGTTGAAAATTAAGTCTCAGTGGTCCTGCTCCATGTGTCCCAACCCCAGTTCAGACTTGTGGGGGTGAGGACATCCTATATTTTTAATATTTCCTGGACACCCCGAGTTGTAGACCCCATTACAAACCCCTCTTCGGGGGTGCTGCCTGCACCCTGCTACATGACCACTCTAACATTTACGACCTTCACAAATCTTTCTGCAACTTCGGCAAACTTACTTATCCCTTTAGAAATAATTATCTTTAGAACAACTCACTTTCAATCTGTTCTTCCAAACTTCATCTCCATCCCCTATGCTTTCTATTATTAAAACCATATGATTTCTTTCCAATTTCATTTGAACTTTTAACTTTAGAAACCTCAATTTCCAGTAATAGAATGTGATCAGCCAGCATTCCTTAGACTGACTTTCGAGAACATATTTTACGACCTTTAGAAACACAGTCTCCTCTGCTGGCAAACACACTCTCACTGTCGAGAAACACAGCTCCCACAAAGCCCAGGCATTTGTCGACAGCTGCTAATCAGTCCTATAGCCAAAATCAAGTAAACTTAAACTAAATCGATTTGCTCAGATATAGCAAAGGTTTTTCCCCTTTTAAATAATAATTTTCTCCTCAAAATCTGTCTGAACAAAAACTGCTGAATCCGACCTCAAATTTGTGACAAGCCAGACATTGAAAAGGAAGCCTGGATCTGAATGATGCTCTCCCATCCAGCAAACTCAGGGAGAGAGAGCTGGGTGTCAGGCTTCGCGGGTCCTGAAGGGAACAGCCAGCTGGAACAGGGAGCGGCTGGGAGAAAGCCAGTCTTAGGTGAGACAGGAAGGAGAAGCCTGAGGAGGAGAAGCAGGGAATACGTGTGGAGCGGGTGATAAAGAATTAGGCAGAGGAGCAGAAAATCATCTTGGGTTTTAAAATGCCATTCTTTCCCCTCTGCATTGAGAAGCAAACACCCTGCTGCTTTTGCAACCAGTAGTGAGGTTGATTAGTATTAATTGCCCAATTTTCCCCAGGATTTTGCACCTCCCAGGTCTCTGGGAGGAGAATTTAGAGCGTTTTACAGCCTTGGAGGGGGTGGTAAAATTTTCTCCCTTTTTTAACCTAGATGTTATTTAACATGGGCACAGTGGCACCAAGCCCAGCACGAAACAGGAGTTGTAGGCAGTACTTGGGAAGTTGTGTGCAGGTCAGGAAGAGCATCACTCCCTTGGCCGGGGGGTGGGGGCGATGAAAGGATCATGGTCTGAAAAACAAATACAGCAGTTATTCTGAAGCAGGAAAGATATGAGTGTGTGTGTGTGGGGGGTGGTAGCAATGTAAGTTGAATGGCCAGAGAAAGGAGGGAAAATGTATGAGTGAGGCAAATTTAAATCCCTGCTGAAAGTTAAAATCCTGTCTCCTCTCCAGAACTAAACCTGAGGAGGGGATGGAGATGGTGACAGTGAAGGTTGATTTGGAAGAGAGTATTATAGTTAAGAGATCTGTCCATGGGCCAACCCCCCTGGTCACCCAGTTTGTATTGGATCCAGGCCATAGTGCAATAGAAAGCGAAGCACTTGGGCTGGAGGTCGATAAATACCAGAACTTTCAGGTTCGTAAGAAGGCGTCCCAATGGAGAGTCCTTGGGTGGGGTCGATTAAGTGTTACCCATGAAGAGGATTATACAAAAGAAAGGGAAAGGCACCTCAGGGATGGGGATGTGCAGAGGGAAGGGAGGGTCTGAGATGGGCATCACTTTCTCAAACAACCTGGAGATCTGTTGCCTGAGCTGAGCACCTGTAATCCAAGGGCAGACCAACCGAGAAGGTCTGTCCCAAAGCTGGGCATACCTGAGCCACAGGATGAGACAAAAGCTAGAAAGGAAAATGGTCAGGAGGAATCCCACCCGAGGCTGAGTCCCTGCAAAGCCGACATGGGGGGTTGAAACCAGAAGATGACTACAGAACTATCACTTCCATTTCAGTGGATGTTAACACCCTGAGATTCAGAAAGACTTCCTGATTGATAACTGGCTGTGACCTTGAGTGGGGAGGAGGCTGTCTACAGAGCACAGAGAGGTGGGAAAGCATTAGAATGATCTCTGCAAAACTCATGGAGACAGGGTCAGGAGGTAAGCCTGGGTGGAGATTCCCCTGCCCACTGCTCCCCTAGCTACAAGTCTTAGGACACAGAGATGAAGGAGAAATAGAGAATTTCCCCATACAGTTCACCAAAATGTTAGAATAGGTAGTGACGCAGGCTGTGAAAGAATTCACGAAGAAAATGCAGAGAGTAAAGTTTTTATCCACTCTCCAACATAGGAGATGGGCTTGGTGTGCAGAAATACACCAGCAATGAATGTAAGGGCTTTGAGCTTTTGTTAGGCAATTGGGGTGATTGTAGTGCAGGGTGTTTCATGTGGTGTTGCTCAGGCTGCAGCTCGTTCTCATGTTATCTTTGACTGCAGGGTCCAGGCATTGCAGTCTGGCACATCTGGTTTTGTAAGTTCTCAGAACCTCTGTGCCTTCAGGATGCTTTCAGGAATTTTCTAGTCCTGAGAATAGAGGTGCATAAAACAAGAATCAGTCAAGCCAGCTCTGGCAAAGAGGGCCTGAAAAGAGTGATTTGTCCTATTACAATAGTATGCTGTTTATATTGTCTTCTGTTAATTTGATTATGGGTCTGGATACAGGAGTTTTAAAAAATGAGAGAAAATTATTATTTTCTTTTAGAGGTAGGTGTCATGACTTCTAGTTAAAAAGTGACTGAGAAGATGATACACAGAGACTGATAAGAGGGTGTGAAATGCAGTCTGTGAGAGCCCCCATGCACCAGCTGAGGAGCCAGAGAGAAAGGGTGCCCGAAGAGCTCTCCACCCCTAAGAGCCAGGGGCCTTAACCACGGGCAGGGATCCTGGTGGTACAGTAACAGAGATGGGAGAGGGGACAGTGTGCTTTCTGGCACTGGGAATCAGTGAGGATCTTTGCACCTGCGGGACTCTGAGAGCACACGTTCAGCACGGAGTTCTTTCATCATTCCAGTGCCAGCAGGGAAAGTGCCTGATGTGAGCCCAGACTGCGGGAAAGGCCAGACCTGGGTCCCACCGAAGCACCTGCAGGCTACAGCCAGCACTGTCTCTGAGGGGCCTTCTGTCTTCTTGGGAGGCTGTGGGTAGAGACTCAGACAGTGATTTAAATTAGTGGCTTCAGAAAGAGGACCGGGCCCTCCCCTGTTCAGCTCAGCTGGTTGGGTACCATCCCACAAGGGAAGTGCTGCTGGTTCTGGTCAGGGCGATGCTTCCATTGTGGGTTTGGTCCCAGGTCTGGGCAAGTACAAGAGGTAACTGAAAGATGTTTCTCTCTCACATTGATGTTTCTCTCCTTCTCTTTCTCCCTCCCTCCCCTTCTCTCTAAAATGAACAAAAGAGAGAGCCAGTGTCCCCTTTCTGGAGAGCCCTGGCAGAGCCCCACCACCAAGCTTCCTGCTGCTCCTGCTGCTCCTGCTGCTGGTGTTGGAAGCACAGAGGAGCCAGGCAGAGCTGGGCATTTGGAGCCTCCCCTGCAGTTTCTGCAGTCACACCATGACCAGCTGGGTCTTTGATCCTCCCTTGCTGAGATCAGCTGCATCGATATTGGGTTGCTGAGAAAGACATAGGCTTTAGGCCCTGCCCTGTGTGGTCTGGAAGACATCCGGTGTTTCACTGAGCTGAGAATTTTGGATCTTGTCTCCAGGGTAAAATACGGTCTAGGAGTTAAATGAGTGAGGGCAGAACTGCCCTGACACTGAGCAGGGAGGCAAAACCACTATTAGCCCATATCAGCCTATCAGCCCTCAAGTACAAACTCTGGATGCACCAGAAAGTTTTATTCACTGTCCTTCTTTGGTTTATAATTACATTTTTACTGCTGTGGTTTACCTAAAAGTCTGTCCCACTGTTACAAAATAAACTTCATAAGCACAAATATATGTATATTGTGTGTGTGTGGAGATCCCTGGGCCCAGCCCAATGTCTGACACATCACAGATGCTTGGGTAACACTCATTAAATGGATAAGAGAAAGCACACAATGGGGGCCTGTCACCCTGTGTGACACTGAGGTGAGTACATGTTCATCACAGACATTAAGAAAATGGGGTCCATATGGGAGGAGGTCACCAAGGACTCAAGATGTTTTAGGTTTGGGCCTTTACCCCTTGTATCATCAGGAGAAAGAACAGGGACCTCCTAAGTCTGATAGGTTAGATCCCCCTTTATTCTTAGAAAACCACAGCCCTCCCTGTCCCCAACTTGTAAGTGACCTTGAGAAGTTACATCCAGCTACAAAAAGTGACTGGAACAGCAGCCTGTTCCTTCCTTTTTTCATAGAGACCTGACCTGGCAGATTCTCTGGAGCCCTCTTCACCCCAGGTAGTGTTATTACCAAAGATGGACTGAGCACACCCTGACTTCAAAAACTTAGGGAATGACTCCCCATCCCCAAGGTCTTTGGTTTATTGTCAGACATCTGCCTGTGGTCCCTGGAGACATCTCTCCACCCAAGCTTGTCCTGTGGGTCCCGGGGGTACTTCCCATGCAGCATGGACAGAAGAACCCAGGATCCATGGGCTGAGGGTCCCATGGGCCCTGAACTCCTGTAACAGAAGAACACACAGGGTCCCCTGGTTGAGTCTCCACTCAACTGCTCCAGCTCCTGGGCCCTTCGGGAAGGCCCAGAGCAGATGACAGACAGGGGCACAGATGACTTGAATGCAATACTCCAATGTTGTGATGAGGGACACACAGTGTATTGTGGGGATTAACACTTCAGACTAGAATCCTCTCCCAGAAGTCTCAGGAGAGGTCTCACAAGACCCATTTGTTTGGACCTTGGGGACTGAGATCTTTTGAAAGAGCCCATTTTCCTAAGGAGAAGGTTCCCCTGACAATGGACTCAGAACACTCTGCACAGTGTCTGTCTGTCTACTCACTGGGCTCACCCTGCCCTGGGATGGAGTCAGGGGGCCAGGGACCCACAGAGACAGAGCCCTGATTGACTGTTCTCTCATCCTGGAAGTCAGAGTCCACCTCTTTCCTGGGCTCAGGGTCAACTCCCACCCTCTGGATCCTGATCAGCATCCTTGGTGCAGCCCTGACACTGGCTGCAAGTCTTCACCTTCCCTCCAAAGAGTGACACTGAACCTCACAGACAACACACAGCAAATTTACACATAAATGTGGTTTTGGCTAAGGAGGTGGAGATGACATCTTCTTTTTATCACTTGATATAAAAGGCCCTTTTAGGCCCCTCCCTCAAGCCCATTCTCTCCCACTGCTCCTTCCAGTGACTGTGAACACAAAAGGGGCCGTGCAATAAATATGACAAGCTCAGTGAACAAAAGTAACCACACAGGATGCTCTGACCAGAAGTTCCTAACTGGGCAGGTGATGGCAGATAGCTACATCCCTGGCATAGAGCTTTCTCAGCAAAGGCCAGACCACCCTAAGTGAGCCCTGTCTCCTGTTCTTATGCATCTTGGATGACATATCTCTGACACAAAGAGTAGTTTTCTTTGTTAAACCATTGAAAGGCAGAGCTCTGGCACCAGAACAGGGAACACAGAGCTTCTCATGTGATCTGGCTTCCTACCTACCCTGTCCATGTGCTGTGAAAATTAATTACCTTGTTCCCACCATTGTAAAAACAAAAAAGTATGTATTTCTCCATTTTGCTTTTTATCCAGTTCTAGAGATTCCCCTGCTATGCTTTCTCTTACCTCCTAATTAATTTCAGGCAGCTCTTTTCATCTTTTACTTTGATTTTAATGTATATAATAAGCTGCAAAACTGACATTATTAGAGGGATTTGAGATCTTGCTTCCAGGCATATGATGTAAGATTGGCTCACAAACACTCGATAAATATGTGTGTTTCTGACTTTGACAGGATCCAGCAGCCCTGCTCCCTCAGGGATCTCTCTGCTGCTCCCTACAGTGTGGACACGCATGGGCAAGGCAAGGTGACCACAAGAAAGCCTCGCAGGCAGCAACCAGAGGTTGTCCCAACACTCAGGGAGCACAAGGACAGGCTCCATCAGCAGATGTGGAAAAGAATAGTCTCCCTGAAACTGTCCCTCCGTGACCACGAAGCCCCCAGACACCTGGCCTTTCACCAAAGTCCCATTTTCAAAGATAAACAGGACACGTCCCTAGTCACTGCAGGTCCAGTTGAGACTTCTGGTTTTGTCTTTGTCCCTGGAAGCAAAAGCAGTCTGGTGACAAGTTGAGATAAAAGAAGGGTTCCCTCTGCAATTATCATGAAGCTTGACCCCTTCTCAGCCAGAGTCATCTCTGTGACCTTTCTGTTGGGAGGAAACAGAACCTTCTCAGAGCATCTGAGAACATGGGGAGACCCAGTGCCCAGTTGGGTTTCTGTGTCACAAACAGACATAGTCCCCATTTTGGGGTCACTTGGGGCTCTCTGTGTGTTGCTGACAGACTCAAGACCAAGACACAGCAGAGGCCAGTGCTGGGGTGATGAGGCCATCATCTCAGGACACATGTGACCCCATCAGCCTTGCTATTGCCAGTAATATTTATGCGCCAGTAAAAGCAATCTCTCTTCTGATGCACAGCAGGGTTGACATCCCTGTGACAGGTTTCTCTGAAGCAGCCCAAGAACTCCTGCTCTGAAGGAAAAAGTCAAATGTCAAAGGGAGAGGGCTGAGGGAGAGGCTACTGTGCACCTGACAGGGAGTTGTGAGGAATACCTGAAACTCAGTCACTCCAGGCCTATGCTTTTCCAACACAGCATGTGAGTGTGTACCTCTGTGTGTATCTGTGTGTGAGTTTGAGTGTATCCTGTGTGTGGTGTTCAGAGGCTTTAACAGTTCCCCAAAACCAAAATGTAGGGGGCCAGTAAGATGCTAGGAAAGGACAGAGTGGCAAAAATGAGGTCAGGGAGTGGGAGGGTCCTGGGCAAAGACCCCACCCCCAGTCATATGACAAGAACCATAATCTTCCTCAGAATAAACTCAGTGCGCAGGTATAAAACACAGCAGATTGCACCAGTCAGGACAGAGGTGCCTGTGAGCTTTACTGGACCTCAAGGTTTTCTCAAGGAGGGAGCCACAGAGAAGACAACGTATACCATGGGATCCCCTTCAGTCTCTACCCACAGAGGACTTGTCCACTGGCAAGGGCTCCTGCTGGTTGGTAAGTAGGAGACAATTCCTTGGGGTAAACTGAGGATCTGACAGAGAGGCTGCCTGGTATCTGCTGAAGAGACCAGTGCTCTGAGAAAAGAGGGAAGGCTTCTGTTTGGACCTGAGGGTAAAGTAAAAAGGAGCAGAGTAGGATGAGGAAGGGGGCTCAGCAAGAGGAAAATCTCATAATCTGGAAATGGTGAGAGGCAGGAAAACCTCAATTGCTGTTCATTTCTTAAGTTATTCATCATATTGAATTATAAAAATTGATAATAATAATAATGATTTATGGCAGGAAATACAAAAAAATTAACCAGGTGCTCTGGACATTGCCTTTACTACCAACTACAGTAATAAGCAAGTACACCCCAGAAGGAGCAGGACCCTGGGATCAGTCATTCACTCACCCACAGGCATTTGCAGCTTGTTGCAGTCACTAAAGGTACAAAAAAAATCAGACAAGCCTCTGCTCACATGGAGCTCATGACCTGTGGGGAGAGTGAGGGACAAGGAATGACCTAGATGTTATGTCAGGCACCCACAAGCACCATGAGTGAAGCAGAGCAGAGGCAGGTCAGAAAGTGAAGACAGAATCTTAGAGAAGGTTGTCAGCACAGGTGTTTCTTCAAGATGCCCCTGACTGTCAGCAGGGGTCTGGAAGCAGTGGGGGGGTGAGCCATGCCAACACCTGGAGGAAATTATCTGAAACAGAAAAAAGTAGAAGTTTCAGAAGATCTGAAGTAATGGTGGCCTGCCATTGACGTTTACCATTGGGTACCCACACATCAAGGCTGAGATAAAAGAGACCTGTTGGGGATCCAGGACTTTATCTTTCCCTCCCAATACATAGATCTAAAAATTGCTCAATGTCTTTCTTTTTTCCTAGTCTCACTCTTAAACTTCTGGAGCCTGCCAACCACTGCCCAGCTTGCTATTGTGTCGACCAATGTTGCTGAGGGGAAAGATGTGCGTCTGCGTCTCCGCAATGTACCTTCTGATTATATAGGCATTGTGTGGTACAGGGGAGACAGGGTGAAAAGCCAGCAGGCTATCGCATCTCTTTTCATAAACCTAAGAATGTACATAATTGAGGCTGCAAACAGCGGTCGAGAAAATATCGTCTATGATGGGTCCTTGCTGATAAAGAAGGTCACCATGAAGGACGCAGGAGTCTATACTGTAGTAGTCAACCTTCCAGGTTCAAAAAAAGAAATAGGATTTGGACGACTTAATGTATACCGTGAGTGATTGCTCTCTGACTTCTGGGTGTTGGGTGGGGTGAATTCTATTTCACACACAGGACTGACACTCTGGTTTCTGCCTCCACATCCCTCTGCATCACATCCCAGGTTGGGATTTGGCCTTTAGTGCAGGACACACCCAGTGGAGACAAACTCCCCAAGATCTCTGTTCCCTTCCCAGATTCCAGCCCTGTGGTTAGTCACTGCAGACAGAAGGACCAGTCTAATGAAAGTAACTCAGCAGAGAGAGACCAGTCTCAGTTCAGCCCCAGAAGCACCTTCCCATGACAATGGCCATGAGGAATGGCTTCAGGGCTTGATCAACTTCTGGCTGAGGAGTCCTTGAAATTCTCACAGAGCTGAGATCAGAAGCCCTTTTCTAGAAACCTGTCCCTGGAATCTTGACTCCTTATACCCTGGGGAGCCTGTGTCTGGTGGTGCTTTAACTCCTAAGAAGGGCTCAATGGGTAACAGTTTAATGGGTGCCTGAGTCACAGGGCTCCTGAGCCAATCACCAACTATTCCTCAGCCCCAAGAATCACATCTTGGCAGAAGTGGAGTGTGGGCTTTCACTTGAGACTGTGTGTGGAGAGAGCAGTTCAACAATTATTTGGATATTGGCTGATGGTCCTGGGGGACTTAGAAGAGGTCAGTAAGCATCCCCAGAAAGCAAATGAGGATACAAGGTGCTTCTTGAAGCTCTTCATTCACTAGGTATTAACCCGGGGTGATATCTCTTGGATTGGAGTCGATCAATAACAGATGCCCCTGATTTGAGCAGCTCTTCTGTCCTATGATTTAGATCAGATACCGTGAATATTTCATGGCAAATACAATGAAACATGGCAGCCAAGAACTCATTCTCCTTCACTGAGAATAAACTGAGAAACATGGAGATACAGTCCCTAAAGCAGAGTCCCACAGACCTTACATGTTGTTACCTGAACAATTGACCTTCTGCAAATGTCAGGACCACATGTTGGTGACCTGTGGACTGTGAGTGGCTGAGATCTCTGAGGAAGCAGCATGACTCCATGTCCCAAGCCCACTCTCAATCAGTCATATTCTGTTTCTCCACAGAGCCCGTGAGAAAGCCCACCCTCCTTGTCAGCAACCCCATAGTCACAGAGAATAAGGATGCTGTGGTCCTGACCTGCGACACAAATGCGGCATCCACCCAGTGGTTGTTCAATGGCATGAATCTTCAGCTCTCAGAAAGAAGGAAGCTGTCCCAGGACCACAGAAACCTCACCATAGACCCTGTCCAGAGGGAAGACGCCGGGATTTACCAGTGTAAAGTCTCCAACCCCATCAGTTCTGCTGAAAGTTGGGTCCTTAGGCTGCATGTGCTATCTCAGTGACCCTCCTTCCCTCTCTATGTTATTAAACTCTAAATAAAGTTCTTTACATTATCATAATAGATTTGTTCTCAAGATGAATATTTCTTAAAAGATTTGCATTGAGTCAATAAACACTTAAAAATGTGACTTGACCTTGTTATTAATGTTGACTTAAAGTCATATTTCAGGCCAAATTCAACCTCTGTTTGGTTTCATTTGTACCATGTCCACAATGGAGGTGACACCAAGTCCTCCAAAGAAGAAGCATTTGTCCAGCAATGACAATGGGAGCAGGTGATGAACTCGTAGTATCTGAGCTTTGTCTCATCTGCAGGCAAACATGCAAGCATCATCTGGACACGGTTGTAGATGGTGGGGATGGACAACACCTGGGTATCAACACTGCTCTTTGTCTTTCACTTTGACATCTTTCAAAAGATTTCTAAACTCTCAACTATTCTTATTTATATAGTAATAAAAGTATTTGCATACATTGAGTACATCTGTTGTCTTTGTTCACAAGATATAATTAGAAACTTTTGTAATAAAACCAAGGCTTCAGCTCCAATACCCCACTTCAAACTGATACCTATGGAATTAGAAATGACCTCACCCTTTCTGAAGCTAAATTAGACCTGGTGGGCCTTTTGGTATCTCTTGGAGAAGAGGGCATCACCCAAACCTGGAGAGACTGCAGGTGAAGGGTGAGGTTGAAGCTTCCTAACTTCAAGTGGCCATTTAAACTTTCATTTTAGTTCTCATAGAAAACATGCATCAGAAAAAAACTATGTGGTCAATGTCAATTACCCTTCATTGGGTAACTAATCAATCAAATCAGGTGACTCCAGCCATGTTGCAGCATCAAGAAATATATATATATATATATATATATATATATATATATATATATAGAGAGAGAGAGAGAGAGAGAGAGAGAGAGAGAGAGAGAGAAGACATTTGATCAAAGGAAAGGCGGCTGTGGGGGAAAAACATAAGATTGTAATGGAAAGCTCCAGAGGCATGGCAGTTTGAGAGGTCAGATGCTGGCTCTCTTCAGGGACTCTCAGCTATTTTGTACCTACTTATAATTTGCTGGAAACTTCCACCTCTTCATAAATTGCAATAACTTATAGATATGAAAACTTTGTCTTGGATGAAAGAAATTTGGTTGTGTTTCCCTCTACTGTGCAGAAAGCCATTTTGCTACGAGCTAGAGAACTAAATATTCCCTCGGAGTGACTTGCCTTCAGACAAGTTCTTTCTGATTGCAGGCCTCTGGTCATCTCCATTTTCTCAGAGCAGTTTCTTCAGAAATGTATTTGCAATTTTTAATTGCAGATTCTTTCTTTGCCCTTTTGAAATACATGTGAGTCTCAATCTTCTTGCCAGTGTTATGAGTCAGAGAGCATCTGTCACAAGGGTCTGGTCCCATCCCTTAAAACTTAATCTTTCACATCACAGTTTGTCAGTCTCTGTGGGAAGATAGAAACCCAACTTACATGACAAACTTTAAACTTTAAACATAAAATACCTTTTTAAAAAGATTTTATGAAATGTTTTACTTTCCTTTTCTGTAAAGCCAATTAGCAAACGGAGATGCCTATAGGCATCTATCATGTAATGGATCTATAAACAGTCCTTTCTCCTGTTTCTAAGGTCTCCCAGCCTTTAGTTTCAGGGGTGTTGAGTTCTGAGTTGCTGCACTATCTCATGGTCTCTGATAGTGTTTCTTGCCTCTTTAAGTTTGTGTGATGCATGTTTTGCTCTGACATCACCTACCTGTAATTAGCTAATGCTGTCATCTTGTCTAAGGTGTCAATCAGTACCATATTTTCAAATCTTAAATTTTTAATAAAAATCTGTCTAAAATTTCCCAAATAAAATTTCCAGTATTTCTGCTTCCCTTCTGAATCACCATTCATGACAAAGAATGACCTGACTGCCCAGGTTTTTCTGGGGACCAGGTTGCTTCAAAGTGGCCTTTGTCTTAGAATCTGATAGAAAGGGCAGGTATGAAACTGTGAACCTCTGCAGCAACCTAACCATCCACCGTGTTCTTATTACACATACTTTTTCACTCACCTTCAAGTAACAAGTTCATACAGATTTTAAAAAATACTCTGTCATGAAACTCAGAGTCTCTAGGAAACATCAGCCCCCTCAGGCCTGTAGTGGGAGACCCTGTCTCATGCCTTTAGTGACCTGGAACTCAGGTCAGATATAAATGTCCTCATTCTTTGATTTCTCTTGTTGTATTTAAAAACTCATGTGCCCCATTCCTAGAGTCTGCAATCAGAACCTGGGAAATGGGAAATAAGTCTTTTTTATGGTTCTGTTTTGTGTTCAATGCTCCTTGTATCCCTGTAGTACTTGGCTGAAATCCTTGAAGAATTGGTCAGAGGTGGATTGTGGGTAAGCAAAGGAGTGCATAGAGAGGGGTCAAAAATAAATGCGGTCTTCTCACAGTCACGGTGAGAAATGACAAAACTTTGGTTTGGTGATGTTAGACATTGTATGGATTAAAGGCCATTCAATACAGGAGGATTTTGTTGGGGAAGCTCAGGATGCAGCTGAGCCATACAAGTAAGGGGCTGAACTAACTCTTGAGGGAGGAGCCACTGGAGCTGGTACAGGTAAGAGAGGGTAGCCATTCTCCCAGCCTTGGAGGGGCATGCAGGGAGAGACCCAGGGTGGGCAAAAAAGCTGAGGTCTTGAAAACACAGATCAGTGTTCTAAGATTGGGACAAGAGGGTAAACCATATATACTAAGCAGCCAAAGTTATTAAACAAGAAGCAGATAAGAGACAAAGGAAAGAACAAAAGAAACATTCCATAAGGACCTAGGAGTTTGAAGAGTGATGAGACTTTGTAAGATTGGGAACACCAAGAATACAGAAGAGGAGTAAAGGGAGCTTGGAAATTTGAGTCAGGAAGATCATTTGAGTGCACAGTAGTCAGACCAACAAGGGAACTAGGATGAGGCCTGGAGAAGGTGAGATATGCAGGACAGGCTTGGAAGTGAAGACAAAACTAGGGGCTAGATGTTACCAGTCCAGTTCCAGTAAATATACATGCCACTGGCTCTGACTGCATATTCTGGGGCACAGCAGTGTTCACCTGGCCTGGGAGAGCTGTGAAAAGCCAAATTTCAGTCCCATATTTCCAGACATGCCTTGGCTTCATCAGCAAGTTAGCTTTGTCTTGTGGTATTTTTGTGTTGATGGGTAAGGCCAACTAGAAGCCAGGGAACCAGCAAGGGAGTGACTGATTTTGTGTGTGTGTGTGTGTGTGTGTGTGTGTGTGTGTGTGTGTGTGTGTGTGTGTGAGAAAGAGGGAATTCAGGGCTGGGATAAACTGAAAGTTAGTGGACCATATCTGTTTTCTATTAACTATCAGGAGTAAAGTTTCTGTGATTTCACAGATGCAGCTATGTGACAGGTCACGGTGCTGACGGGGTAGGTGTGAATAGTCTGGACACCTGTCCTTGTCTAATCCCAGATGTATCACTTCCATCCGTGGTGGATGCTGCTCGGCCCACCTGTCCATGTGTCAGGGGGTGTGACAGAACCCAGGTTATGGTGAGGAGGCCTGACTTTCTGCTCACACAAAAACCCATGTAAAGACTCTCCAAACATCCTAAGGCCTAGCAGCCTACCAGGAGCTGTTGTTCTAGTGCTGCAGAGGACATGGCTGTGCTCTAATATTTGGGAGTTTGCATGTAATTTTTTCTAGTTTTTAAAGACTTGTAAACAGAGGGGAAGGGAGGGAGGAAGAGAAAGGGAGAAAAACATCAATGTGTGGTTGCCTCTCATGCTCTCCTTTCTGGGGACCTGGCCTGCAACCCAGGCATGTGCCCCAGACTGGGAATCAAACTCACAATCCTTTGGTTCACAGGCCTGAGTTTAATCCCCTTGACCCACACCAACCATGACAGAATGGGTCTCCTTCTTGATATCTATTTCTACATAACGAAAGACCCCAAACTTAAAATTGCTAAATGTCTTAAATAATAAAGAACCTGGAAAAATAAAACTTCATTTATGATAATAAATTATTTTTTTCACAAGGTAATAAGACACAAAAACCTGGTGAAGTTCTCTGGAGAAGGGACACTGGGATGCTTTTGAGGGTCTGCCCTCCTGGGTTTTTATGTTTTTCTTGACTCAATCTCTGGAATGACCCTGAGAAATCTGCACTGTTTTCATGCTGTGTTTCAGAATAATTTAAAAAAACAGGGTCATGCTGGAATTGTCACTTAAAAAGGCACGAAACACAATTGAACTATTCTGTTGTCCTCCACATTCTACAATGGATTAGACACATGGAAGAGTATTTCTTCTTCTTACTAAGCATTGTCTCTCTGAGATATTGCTGGCATGTGTGGACTTATTCTTCTTGCTGCCATCACTACAAGATTTTCATAGTTTCTCAAGAAGAATCAGATTTATTAAAGACAGGATCATTCACATGTGTACATATATGATCTAAATATTTTGCACAAAAGTCATTACATGTTTAAAAGCATATTATACCTTTCGAAGGGCACTTTCTTTACAATAAATAAGAAGACATAGTCATTTAATTTACCTGTAAGGATAATCTCATTTCTCTTAAAAAATTGAGTACTGTATTTTCAAATAAAATTTTCTTGTATATTGAAAAAATTAACTCCTTATCTGATGTATCACTGGTGAATATGTTCTCCCAAACAGTTCTCCCTTATCATTTTGTTGATGGTTTCTTTTGCTGTGAGGAAGCTTTATAATCTGATGTAGTTTCATTTGTTTATTTTTTATTTCTTCTCCTTACCCTAGAAGACATTCTGGAAAAAGTATTGCTGCAGGAGATGTCTGAGATTTTGCTACCTATGTTTTCTTCTAGGAGTTTTATGTTTTTGCAACTTTCACTTGTCTTCTTTCATTTTAAGTTTATTCTTCTAGATCTAATGAATTTTCAAGGTTTTCTACGTACAATAGCATGTAATCT